AGAGAGAGAGAGAGAGAGAGAGAATGATGTTTGTTATTACAATCCCAATAGTAAGGCGCTCTCACAATAAGGCGCTCCCTCTTTATTATTGGATGATATTGTGGGTGTGTTTGAATGCTTTTGTATGGGTTAAGTCAATGAGGGGGCAGAAAGAGGGAGCGTGAGAGCGACTTAATGTGAGAGCGCTTTACTAAAGCCGTTGTTATACCTTATGTTATCTGAACACTCCTTTCCCAACGAATTAGTAACAACTCCTAAATACTCCTTAAAGTCGACGACAGCCTCGACGGGTGCGCTCGAGGCTATGGCACCGACAGCTGTTTTTGGGTACTTTTCCCTAAACCAAGCGGCCAGTGCTCCGGCATAGGAGCCCCCGAACACAACCACTTTACTGCCGACTAGACATTGCTTTCTGAGTATATATTGAAGGAAGTCGTCGGTGTCCTGTAATGCCTGTTCACTGGACAGGTATTTCATATTCTCGACGGTTAACTCGTCAAAGGGTTGGGACTCTCCGTAATACCGGTGCTCCAAATCGATGAGATAAGCGCCGTATTTGCGGCCCATATCTACTATAAAACTGGACTCAATCCAAGTACTATCGACGGCTCCCTCGCCGCCAAGTAACAAAAACACGGGCCCACCCGGCTTATGGTTGGCGTCATTTATAAAGTAGTACTGTTTTTACACATATGATTTTCAATTAGGACATGGTCAATTGTTACATGTTTGTACTATATTTAACTATAAACAATGTTAATTAGTTTTACAAAACCTGATCAAATGTCCGATTGTCTTTGGGGTCTAAATGATTGACTTTCTGTTTGTAAGTTTGAGCCAAGCTTTGAGTGAAGTGTCCGATCGGAGCCACCGGTGGTCTAACCATTCCGTGCTTATCGACGGGTCGGCCCCGGAATGAAAGCCGTCCACTGATTGCCTCACTATTGCATACAAAGTGAATGCAAATCACAACTAATACTAAATACCGAGTCATTGTAAACACTTTAAAATTAAATTACAAGCTGAATTAATTAAAGTATTTTAGTTATTATTTAAAAAATTAATTAAAACAATATTGTGGAGCTTGTAAGAATTAAACAGAACATATGCTTTGTTATTATTAAAGAAATGCCCTTGTAGAATGACTTTATTATATTCTTAATTTAAATTAAATTATGGTGATTAAATTTTTGTGATTAGTGTCTCATAAATCTATAACATCTGTTTTTGATTCAATACTCACATCAATGACTCAATTGCTTACCCATGTACATTCTGTTAGATAATACCTTATTCTTTTAATTTTTGACATGTACCATGTATTTATTTTATTTTATTATCAATTTAAATTAATTCTCAGCATCTGGTACATTTTCTATATGTTTTCAAATAATATAATCCTTATCAGACAATACCATAGCATTTGGTTCTATATTACCTAAAGTACAATAAATATAGTGTAGGAAATCTTGTTGATTAATATAATGATAAATCTTGTACTATTATTTCAATAATCAAATATCAAATCAAAAATATAAATTTTATGCTTTAGATAACATTGTTAATCAACATTATCTTACTTTAATATAAGACCAAGCACAAAATATAATATTTTAATGTACAGACAAATTATATATATTGCTCTGTTTATAATGATAATAGTCTAATAGATTAATATTTGGCAAGGTAAATTGTTATTAACTAAAGTACAGTAATTTTTTTCGTTAATTTGTTCGAACGGATAACTGTTACGATAAAGTAACCAAAAGTTTGAACAACAACAGTAATAAAAAACAATGTCATTTAAGTTCATTTACAAATTAATATTACTTTAATACTGTACCTTAGTATTTAATATAAATGTAGCCTTAAATTAATAAAATTTAATCAATAATTCAATATCAAATAATCGGTGGTGGTCTGTACTAATAACATGATAAGTTTATCTGTTTGTTAGTTATAAATTTCATTTTAAGACAACATATTTAAACAAATTGCAAATTACTATTGAAATAATTATGTAGTTTAAAATGCTATATAAGCAGGGCATTTTCTAATAAGTGTAGCATCATAAATCTGATACTTTTAAGTTTCAAAACTGAATTAAAATATGATTTATAATTATTTATTCGTTTTAGTTGTTGTATGCAATGCTTACAGCGAACCCAATGGGGGTTTCAAACTATTTATGGGTCGACCCAACGATAAATACGGTTTCATTAGACCACCGGTTGTTAATAATAACGACGAGTCTTATCGGGAACCGGAGGGGCAATGGTTTGAGCAGAGAGTCGATCACTTTAATAAACAAGACAATAGAACTTTTAAACAGGTAAGTTATAATTATCACAACATATTTTACAATAACTATAATATATTTTATATAAAGCTTTATTACGTGGACGACACTCACCATAAAACTGATGGACCAGTATTTCTCATGATTGGAGGCGAGGGTGCGATCGACTCTACATATGTCACATCAATGTTCATGACTGAAATGGCCCAAAAGTACGGCGCTCTGGCCGTGGCGTTAGAGCACCGGTATTACGGGAAATCCATTCCCACACCAGACCTGTCCACTCAAAACCTGAAATACCTGTCGAGTGAAATGGCGCTGAAAGACACGGAACAGTTTGCACTGTATTTGACCAAAAAGTTATCACTTGAAGGCAACAAATGGGTTGTGTTCGGGGGCTCGTATTCAGGAAACCTAGCAACTTGGTTCAGGGAAAAGTACCCCAATATAGCTATCGGTGCCATAGCTTCGAGCGCTCCCGTCGGTGTTGTTATGGACAATATGTTTTATTTAGGTGTTATGAGTGAATTGATGGGTAAAGAGTGTTCAGATAATATTAGGTATGTTTTAAAGTAATATGAATTTAATTATTAAGTTAAATGATGTTTTGATCTTTCTATAGGAAAGCCCACAACGAGTTTGAAGGGCTCCTGAAAACACCGGAAGGTGTGATAAAATTACGCAAAACATTGGATTTGTGTCAATCGTTTGACGGCAAAAATGTTGACAATAATATGTATTTAGCGGAACAGATGGTTATGTTTCTGGGCATGCATTTGTCGCCTGAGTCGGCAATCAATGGCGTCCGTAAGATAATGAATGACTCGTCTGTTGGGACACCATTTGAAAGATATGCCAAAGCGATCGGTATGAATAATAATGACCAGGATTGTTTAGAGATACAGCATAGCATACTTATTAAATCATTACAAAACACAACTATCGATCCAATGGGAACTATAGGAAGTATGTAATTAATAATATAATAAAATCTTATATTATAATAACAATCACTAATTAGTTTTCATAATTATAATATTAATAATTAATTAAATGTGTGTTTATTTAAATGTATTATTAGTGAGACAGTGGTTGTATCAGATGTGCACTGAATTCGGATACTTCCCGACCAGTGATCTCCCAAACAGCCCCTTCGGACACAACATTCCCGTTGAATACTATATTAAACAATGCACTGATATATTCGGCCCACAGATTACCGGTCAAACCATACAGAAAGGGGTCGACCGGACAAATGCCAACTACGGGGGCCTTAAACCTAAAGTAACAAACGTGGTGTTTCCTAACGGGTCACTCGACCCCTGGCACGCAATCAGTGTCCTTAAAGACCTAAATAACTCAACTAAAGCTGTTATGATTGAAGGCGGAGATCATTGCTATGATATGAATAAATCGAGTCAATCCGATTCCCAGAGTATGAAAAACGCTCACAAATTAATTGAACAACAAATCGGCGAATATTTGAATTAAACAATACATTGAATTTTTAAAATAAAATATTGCATTGAATTTAATCACTTGTTACATAATACATTTATTTTAATACGCTCGATTATCGGACATTTTTTAAATATTGATTTTTATCAATCTATTGAGAATAGAACCTTTTCAATAATTGATGATTCAAAATTAATAATTTATCCTAATCCTGTCAACTTAATCACAATATTAACATCTCAATAACTTGCTTGAGCTAGTATTACAAAAACTCACAATTTACAAGAGAACAGCAAAGCTGCATGATTAAATTAATAATGTATTTATTAAATTTAATGATTAGCCCAAGCACTGTCAAGATTCTTATGAGTAAAGATTTAGTTTTGATATAAGTGATTATAATTTAATTGTGTTTAAATGGTAAAAAACATAATTTAAATGTTTCAAGCTAATATTCAGAAATGACCAAGTTATGGACATTTTTTGTTATCGCGCGTATACGGTGTATAGTATGAAGAAAAAATTAAATTTAAATACTGTTTTTTAATACAATAATTTATCACCATTTATCTAAAACTTGTTTAATCTAAATCTAAAACATTTATCTACATACTTGAATTTTATATTATTTTGAAATCATGCACCTTATGCACTTTAGTAAAGTAGCTTTATCATAATTGTAAACCTATCAATGCATTGTTATTTGTAAAAATAAATTACACAATGGGTTTGAAGTATTTTGCTATTGATTTGATAAACTATATATAAAGGCAGTTATTTGGTTAATATAAGTCATTCTAATTTTGTAACCATAAGTTTCAAAACAAAAATATAAAATGAATTATAAAATTCTTTTATTATGTTCTGTATTTATAAGTAATGTTTATTGTGGACCCAATGGGGGTTCCAAACTATTTATGGGTAGACCTAACGATAGGTACGGTTTTATTAGACCACCGGTTGATAACACATGGGATGAGTTCTATGGGGAACCGGAGGAACAGTGGTTTGATCAGAGAGTCGATCACTTTAATAAACAGGACAACAAGACTTTTAAACAGGTATAAACTTATTATTTATAAAATCAGTTATTACTAAATTTAGAAAGCAATTATATATTAAAAAAATTGTATTTAAATTTTAATGACAAAATGTATTTTAGCGTTATTTTATAGAGGATTCCCATTATAAGAGTGGTGGACCAGTATTTCTCATGATTAGTGGTGAAAGTGAGGCAGGTGCATTTTGGCTCACAAATAAGACTTATATGGGAGAAATGGCCCCAAAGTTTGGCGCTCTGGCAGTGGTGTTAGAGCACCGGTATTACGGGAAATCCGTTCCCACACCAGACCTGTCCACTGAAAATCTGAAATACCTGTCGAGTGAAATGGCGCTCAAAGACACGGAACAGTTTGCACTGTATTTGACCAAAAAGTTATCACTTGAAGGCAGCAAATGGGTTGTGTTTGGGGGCTCGTATTCGGGCAATCTAGCTGCTTGGTTTAGAGAAAAGTACCCTAATATAGCCGCCGGTGCCATAGCCTCCAGCGCTCCCGTCGAGGCTGTTGTCGATTTCATGGGTTATGCGGGAGTTGTTAGCGAATCGCTGGGAAAGGAGTGCTCCGATAATATCAGGCATGCATTTATACATTTATATTTATTAAATTATATATTATGTTATATATTAAAGTGTTTTATTTTTTATTAATAGGAAAGCCTTTATCGAAATGGAGACTCTGTTAAAAACACCGGAAAGTGTGATAAAATTGCGCAAAACATTGAATATGTGCGACACATTTGACGGCAAAAATATCAATAATAACCGGTTATTAGCGTTTAATTTGATGGGCACTATGGCTCATGCCGTTCAGTACAACTTACATCTCGATGTAATCCGTAAAATAATGAACGACTCCTCAATGGGTACGCCACTGGAAAGGTATGCCACAGTACAGGGTGTGAACCACACAAAGCCATGCGATGACGTAAATTATAACGAAATGATCAAAGCGTCGAGAAATACAACTATCGATCCTCATATGATGGGTATATATCTCAAGCTTTTTATGCAATTATATTTTAATTTATTATTAATTGTTAATTTATTTAATCAATTAATAAAGCGAGACAATGGGAATATCAGGCGTGCAATGAATTTGCATATTTTATAACCACTGATCTTGTAAACAATCCGTTCGGACACAACGTTCCCGTGGAGTTTTGGGTGCAAATGTGCGCTGATATGTATGGCTCACAGTTTACGCCACAAAGCATACAAAAAGCGGTCGACCGGACGAACGCATATTACGGGGGTTTAAAGCCAAACGTGACAAATGTTGTGTTCCCTAACGGGTCACTCGACCCCTACCAGGCTCTCAGTGTTCTCCACGATCTCAATAATAGCACCAAAGCTGTGATGATTGAGAACTACTCACACGGCGGCGATATGTGGGGATCGACACCAAAGGATACTCAGAGTTTGATAAATGCTCACAAATTGATTGAACAACAAATCGCTGAATATATTAAATAAATGTAAATTATTATTTAAAAAATTATATTTAATTTTCAGTCTTGCCTTTGATAATTTATCATTAAAAACATTCTGTTTAGTAATTAAAAAATATTAATTAAAATGAATTTTAAGTACTTTAAATAAAAAATTATTATTTACTTTAATATACTATAATTACTTAAACAATAATACAATCTATTACATCATTATTTAAACAACTTTGTTTACAATAGTCTTTATTGTGCTTGTAATTAGTTTTTTAAAACATGTAACAATGAATTTCTTATATTGATCAGATATTCAACAGAAATGCTAAATAAATTATAATAAATCAGCAATCACACATTGTAATTTAATTACATAGCATTATTATACAAAACATTGAAATAAAGCACCCGGAACACTTTATCAGAACTGTTCTCACAGATATTATTCTTAAATGTATACCCGTTTTGATAATTATATTAGAATTCACCTATGTTATCTATAATACTTTATTTTGAAATCATAAAACTTTTAAAACGTAACTTCTTTTAAACATCCCCAGTCTAACACATTTGCCTACAAATTTTAATCAACATGGTTAGTGCGAAAAGTCCTCGTTTTCTTATAAAAAGTGAAAATATAAACTATCCTTAATATTTGTATCATTCTAATAGAAAATGCTTTAATTTTTAAATCCTTGAAATAAAGCACCTTATGCACTTTGGATAAGTAGCATTATCTCAATTGTAAACTTATCAATACAGTTTTAGAGTTACAGATAATTAGTAAAAACTAATTACACAATGCAATTGAAGTGTTTGCAATTTATTTATTATTTTGTATATAAAGAGAGATTTATTTCTAAAAATATTAATATTAATATTTATTATTTAAAGTTTCAAAATAAAAATATAAAATGAATAATAATATTCTTATAATAGGTTTTGTATTTATAAGTTGTGTTTATTGTGAACTCAATTTTGGTATTAATCAGTTTATGGGTAGACCTAACGATAGGTACGGTTTTATTAGACCACCGGTTGATAACACATGGGATGAGTCCTATGGGGAACCGGAGGAACAGTGGTTTGATCAGAGAGTCGATCACTTCAATAAACAGGACAACAAGACTTTTAAACAGGTATAAAGTTATTATTTATAAATCTATATTTAATAATAATAACAAAATTTATTTTAGCGTTATTTTGTAGAAGATTCCCATTATAAAACTGGTGGACCTGTATTTCTAATGATTAGTGGTGAAAGTGAGGCAGGTACATTTTGGTTAACGAATATGACTTATATGGGAGAAATTGCCCCAAAGTTTGGCGCTCTGGCAGTGGTGTTAGAGCACCGGTATTACGGAAAATCCGTTCCCACACCAGACCTGTCCACCGAAAATCTTAAATATCTGTCGAGTGAATTGGCGCTGAAAGACACGCAACAGTTTGCACTGTATTTAATGAAAAAGTTATCACTTGAAGGCAGCAAATGGGTTGTGTTCGGGGGCTCGTATGCGGGCAATCTAGCTGCTTGGTTTAGGGAGAAGTACCCAAATATAGCCGCCGGTGCCATAGCCTCTAGCGCTCCCGTCGAGGCTGTGGTCGATTTTATGGGTTATGCGGGAGTTGTTAGCGAATCACTGGGAAAGGAGTGCTCCGATAATATCAGGTATGCGTTCATACATTTATCAAATTAAATCACATATTAAAGTGTTTTATTTTTATTAATAGGAAAGCTTTTATCGAAATGGAGACACTTTTGAAAACACCTGAAGATGTTATAAAATTGCGCAAAACTCTTAATATGTGCGGCACTTTTGACGGCAAAAATATCAATAATAACCGGTTGTTAGCGTTTAATTTGATGGGCACTATATCTCATGCCGTTCAGTACAACTTACATCTCGATGTGATTTGTAAGATAATGAACGACTCCTCAGTGGGTACGCCACTGGAAAGGTGTGCCAAAGTACTGGGTGTGAACCACACAAAGCCATGCGATGAAGTAAATTATAACGATATGATCAAAGCGTCGAGAAATACAACTATTGATCCTAAAATGATGGGTATATATCTCAAGCTTTTGATGTACTTAAATATTAATCAGTTATTAATTGTTAATTATTTTATACATTAATATAGAGAGACAATGGTTATATCAGGCGTGCAATGAATTCGCTTATTTTGTAACCACTGATCTCGTAAACAACCCCTTCGGACACAACGTTCCCGTAGAGTTTTGGGTCCAAATGTGCGCTGATATGTACGACAAACAATTCACGGCCCAAAGCATACAGAAATCGGTCGACCGGACGAATGCCTATTACGGCGGTCTAAAGCCAAAGGTTACTAATGTTGTGTTCCCTAACGGGTCACTCGACCCCTACCACGCTCTCAGTGTTCTCCACGATCTCAATAATAGCACAAAAGCCGTTGTGATTGAGAACTACTCACACGGCGGCGATATGTGGGGATCGACACCAAAGGATACCCAGAGTTTGAGAAATGCCCATAAATTGATTGAACAACAAATCGCTGAATATATTAAATAAATATAAATTATTATTTGAAAAATTATATTTAATTTTCAGTCTTGTTTTTGATAATTTATTATTATAATTTGTTAAATAATTTAAAAATATTAATAAAAATAAATTTAAGTCCTTTAAATAAATAAAAAAATTATGTTTAATAATTATAGTATATCATTAATGTAATTACTTTAACAATTACATCATAATTTAAACAACTTTGTTTACAATAACATCTTTATTGTGCTTGTAATTAGTTTTTGAAAACATGTAACAATGAATTTCTTATATTGATCATAATATGTACAGACTGTCCCATATATATGTCCCTACTGTGTTTTTCCATACAAAACCATTATATAACTACAATATCTTTATCAGGTGTAGATCAGGCATCTGTAGACCGATTTCAATAAACTTGGATGTTTTCA